GAGAGAGAGAGAGAGAGAGAGAGAGAAACAGAGACAGAGAGAGATGTGTGTGGGTACCCACAGAGTCCAGAAAAGGGCAACAGAGGCCCCGAAGCAGAGTTACAAGGAACAGGAGTTGCAAGTGGTTGTGAACCACCCAAATAGATTCCTGGAAGGTAACTCGGTTACCCTGGAAGAGCAGTGTGCTGGCCAGTGGTTTGGGGTTTTTATTTTGTTTTGTTCTGTTTTTGTCTTCTTGACAGAGGCTAGGGTCACTTAGGAAGAGGTGACTTCAACTGAGGAAATGCCTCCATCAGATTGGCCTGTGAACAAGTCTGTGGGGGCATTTTCTTGATTAATGATGGATGTGGTGCCACCCTGGGCAGGTGGTCAGTCCTCCATAGCCTCTGGTTCCTTGAATTCCTGCCTCAAGTTCCTGCCTTGGCTTCCCTCAGTTGTGGACTGTGGCATGGAAGTATAACCCTTTCCTCCCCAAGTTGCTTTTGTTCATGTGTGCATCACAGCCCTACAAAGCAAACTAAGGCAAATAGCAAGTGTTCTTAATGGCTGAGCCATCTATCCAGCCCTTCTCCCTGCAAGTTTTTAAATGATAGTCTTTTAAAGCTCATTACATCTGGAATTCTGCAAGAACAATCTAATGTACAAAATTAATTGCCTAATGGCTTTTTGTCATATTCTAGTATATCACAACACATTCATCAAGTCACTGTTACATATTTTAAAAAACACAGAAGCTTGGGAGAAACTCAGTGAGTAAAGCACTTGCCAGGCAAAAATAAAGCACCAAATTTGACCTCTAGAATACTCCTTTAAAAAAACAAAAAACAAAACAAGACAAAAAAATGCTAAGTGTAATCATGCATGGTTATCTGCCCAGTGGCTCGCTGGTCAGCCAGCCTAGTTTAGTATATGAACTGCAGGCCAGTGAGAGACTCTTGTCTCAAAGAGCAGGGTGGATGACTATTGGGAGACAACACTTGAGGCTGACATTTGGCCTTACACAAGTATACACACATGTACAGCATACATGAAAACTGCACACACACACACACACACACACTCACACACACACACACACACACCCACACACACACACACACACACACACACACACACACACACACACACACACACACACACACACACACACACACTCAAAAGGAGGAATATGTTTTTAATTTACAGGCATCTTTTCCTTTCCAACATCCATGGATTACTTGAGGAGGGTGAAGTCAAACCAGATGCGTGAACTGTGTGCAGAGGCGCACTGGTAAAGAAAGTCGTTACTATTCACAGCCTCCTCTGTCTTTTCCTGTGCTAACTTAGCTCCACTCTCAATGACTACACAGATTAGCCTACCATCTTTTCCCTGGCTGCTACCCAACATCGTTCTTGAGGCTGGTATTCATCTGAACCACAGGACATCAAATATGCCCACCTTCCAGAGTTCTGACAGCCTTCCCTCTCAGTCAGCTTCCTGCCTCCCCAGAGTGACACTGTCCCTTATTCCTAGCTGTACATCCTGTTATCCTCCTCTGTCTCATTAGATGCCTGGGGCCTGCTTCTATTTGGCTCTAGTAATCTCCTGGGCTCCTCTGATAATCTCAGTCTCTTGACCCTACTCTTGCTCTGCCTCAAACTCTCCTTTTCCAGGGGACCTGTTCCCTGCTGTGTAATGGTGGAAGCCTTTACAGAGAACAGGCACTTACCCTGACATGGGTGTGAAAAATCACAGGCGAAGGAAGATAAGCCAACCCTCACTCACCAATCAACTCTCTGGAAGTGAGACCTAGCCATGCACCTCTCAGAACACATAAAACCTTCACCATTATAAGTGCATGTGTGTGCATGTGCCTATGGCGGGCACAGGGCATCTTTAGATGGAGTTGGCAGGCACTGTCCACCTTCTATTGGAGACAGGGTCTATCAATGGCCTGGAGTTCATCAGGCTAGGCTAGTTGGCTAGCAAGCACTAGGGGTCCATCTGTTTTCACCTCCTTAGCTCTGGAATTGTGAGTGTAAGCCACCGTGACCAGGTTTTTGGGTGATTTCTGGGGGTTGAACTCAGGTGGCTAACCACTTTAATAACTTTACTAACCACTTTTTAACTAACCAGCCCACTACCTTTTACTTAAATGTGTAACACACACACACACACACACACACACACACACACACACACAGGAGTTTCACTACTGAACACATACGATAATAGGAAGGTCAGTGCCCTGAGTCTGTCACAGGAAACAGCCTGTAGGCCTAAGGTCTCCACAAATAATTCATGAGTAAGAGAATGAGTAAATGTATATTCAGGAGTGAGAGACAGAGAGATGCAATTTCTACTCCAATCTACACGAATACCATAATAAATGAATACCATAATGAAAACACTATCAAGGAACAACCAAACCCCAAAACCAAGCTTCTAATTCTCTGTAAATCTACAAAAATCTTTGGAGCACCTCCTTTAATTTAGTTGCCAAATTATTTAGTGCTAATATCGCACAGTAGACGGTGTGGACTCATTAAGTGGGAATCAGGTCCAACAGGCAAAATGGGGGCTTGGGGATTAGAAGACGCTCACTGGGAGAGGAAGATGAACTGAGTCATCCCGTGTTTGAGAGGCCTGGCTAATTGAATTGAGATAATGAAAGTCAAGTCACCAGGGGCGCTTTCACGGAACAGAAGTTGCTAAAAGAGCGGCCTCTCTGCCATCCTTCATCCCTTTAAACCCAGGGAGTTATAAGGAAGATGAGGCTTACCTGCTGTTCCAACTGTCCCTGTCATCCTGAACCCAGAGTGAATTGAAGTCATCATGCAAACCTAGTTAGCTTTTCAAACTACAGCCATTTTCTAGCTGAGCTGAACTACAAGGGCTCTAATTACGCCTTGTCTGGTAATAAGGTAAAAGTGAGCAAGACTCACTGATGGGGTGTGAGGAAGAGCAGGTGCCCGGGAAATGAAGAGATGCCTTCATTCCTTAAAGAGGAGGTGAACGTTTTCTTTTCATTAGCTCTTAGCTATTTTTGTGTGGGTGCATGCTCACACCACCCTGTGTGTGTGCAAGTCAGGGGATAATTTTCAGGAGTCTGTTCTCTCTTTCCATCATGCTGGTCTGGGAATCGAACTCAGGTATTGAGAGTTGGCAGCAAGTGCCCTTAGCTGCTGAGTCATCTCACCCTCTTTTTGTTTTTAAACTGTTACATGTACACTTACATATAAATGTATAAATACAACCTGCTGAGACTGTATGGTATTGCTTGTATCTGTGTGTGTTTAGGGTTATTCACTTGGTACTGGATACCCAATCAGGGTGCTCAACCTGGATCAATTCTCCCTTTCTCAGCAATCATTTATTTTATTATTATTATTATTATTATTATTATTATTGTTGGCTTTTTGGGACAGGGTTTCTCTGTGTAATAGTCCTGGATTCCTGGAACTCGCTTTGTAGACCAGGCCGTCCTTCAACTCACAGAGAGCCACCTGTACCTCTGCCTCTAGAGTGCTGGGATTAAAGGCATGCACCATCACCACCCAACTTCTCTCAGCAATCATTAATTGTGTACAGCTCTTCATCTAGAGGGAGCCCCTTGAGATTCCCCCATCTGTCCTGGCCTATCAAGTTGAGGTATCATTGCTCAGGTTTTCTTTAAATCATGGACCCCTTCCCATAGTGTTTCTCTTACATGGGGTTCAATGAGCCCTTCTCGCCTTCCTTCCTTCCCCCCTCCCTCCCCACCTCTCATACTCCCTCTCTTTTTTTAAAGAATTACATCTATCTGTCCCTGTATCAATGCATGTGGGGCCAGAGGACAACCTGGAGACGTTGGTTCTCTCCTTCCATTATGTGAGTGCTGGGGAATCAAACTCAGGTCGTCAGGGTTGGTGGCAAGCACCATTACCCACTGAGCCATCTTACTAGGCCCCTCTCTTTGTTGAAACAAGCTATCATCTATAGATGTGTACAGTAACTGGCCAGAAAGTAGTCCTGGAGAGGACTCGGTATAGTCTAGCCCCCAGAAGGATTGATGGTATGGCTAGAAGAGTAACTGTTCAAGATCATAAATTATTATATGCACAGCCGATTAGCACCCAGTGCCTTCAACTTCTTGCAGGGTAAAAATTATCACTTTTCCAAATCCATAATATGAAAAAATGTATCTTTTTAAATATTTTAAAAATACTTTTAATTTATGTGTATTTGTGCCTGAGTGTGTGCCTATGGGTATGCCCATGCAGGGGTGCCCTTGGAGGCTGGACGATTGCATTGGACTCTCTGCAGCTCAAGTTACAGATGGTCGTGAGCTGCCTGATATGGGAACTGAAGGTGGGTCCTTGGTAAGAGCAGTCAGTACTCTTAACTGCTCAGTTGTGTCTCTAGCCCCTCAATTTTTTGTTAAACACAAATAAACTGTCTGGAGATATGAGATAGCCCAATGGTAAAGAAATCCACCACCAAGCTTAGTGACCCAAATTTGATTCCTGAGATTCACATGGTAGAAAGAACTGACTCCTAAAATTGTTCTGTACACACACACACACACACACACACACACACACACACACACACAATCATTTGTACTAAAACAATGAATACATGAACAAAATGGAAAAAATAAAATCCAAAAAAAAAAATCCCAAACCCTAAAACATTCCTTATTGGCTCTTCCCAGATTAAGCCTTGTCTAGATTTTAATTCTTGCTCTATTGTAGTTCTACATAGATTTCCAAAAGCTTTATTTTATGAGTTAATCAATTTTTACGCGCTTACCATTCACAAGGCCAATTCATCAAAAAGGAAAAGGACATTAGCGGGTGATGCTTGTTTTAGTGCTTATGGTTTCCCTCAGTGACAAAGATTTCTGAGTACCAGTTTGAAGATGGACTGGCCCTTGATCCTTCCTGTCTGTGCTTCCTGGACAACCTGAGACTGTCTCAAAAGAACAGGAACAGCAATAAAGTGAGCCCCTTCCTGCCTGCCTTGGCTCTTTGGGGTTGGTTTTATAAGTCCCTCCATGAAGTTCCCATGTTCCTGAGCCCAGTCCCACCCAGCTCTGCACAGGGAGAAGTCACACTGACCTTGACTTTCTGTTGGTGGTGGTAAATCTGCCAGGCGATATGCACATGCATGGCACACCACTTTCCTGGTTTCTGGAATAAGAAAGAATAGCCCAATCAGAAGGAAGACACACCAGAATGCCCACTTTCATTTGCCCCAGGTCCCTGCAAATCTGGGCTATGGCAATTTCTTTTCTTTCATGAGAACAGAGCTCTGTGTCAATCAAATGCTTCCAGTAGCGGCTTTTCCAAGCACAGGCATGAAGGAGTCAGAACCTGCATCCCCTTGTCCCATGTGGGCATGAGAACCACTGTTCCTTTACAAGGCAGTTTTTTGCCAAGGACAAGATGGCAAAGACCTGACTCTCTCTGTCTGGCTTGTCATCTCCAGTGCCAGCAGGCAGGCCTAGTGAGTAGCAAGTCCCACCTAACAAATGCTGTCAAGCTAACAGGCACACAGGCAGTCCAGAAAGAGCTAATTAGGGGATGTCTGTGGATCGAATCAAAACAAGAGTGGTGACAGGGCCCTCAACGTGTTACACAGTGATTTGTCACACTCTTATTGCAGTCTGGCAACTTTGGATGTTTCACGGAGAGCCAGTAAGCCATGTATGTGAGTGATTTTATTCACTTCTAGTTAAAAGAAGAGAAAAGGCAGAATGAGGGGCCAAGGAGGAGTTAATGCTTCCTTCCTGCAGGGATCAAGTCTCTCTCTTGTCTGCCATCTTAAGAGCACTTGTCAGCCCATGGTACAACAGAGGGCAGGGCTGACTCTTTCTGCTTCCTTTTTGCTTAGCACCTCCAGGTGCTCCTTTATTAACTACAAGGATGAGAAAGTCCTGCCCAGTTCTGCAACAGCAAAGGACAGGGGTAAAAGTTTTCTGTAGCAAACTGC